TCTAGTTCATTATAAGAAAATCTATAGGATAAAGTTGGTTTCTAAGTACATCTTGTTATGCCTTGTCCATCAAGTAGATGAGGTACCTCGTCTGCTTTGGACTTCTCGTGTAGCCTGCTTGGTGTACATCATCCTATTTGGGCTATTTTCCATGCGGTGAGGTACCTGGGTACCATAACAATGACAGTAGCCCCTGAGCCTTCGTGCGATTCAGAGAATCAGGTGGAGTGTTAGTCTTTATCAAAGTTTGAATGCGACCACTTTTTATGGCCAAATGTTCTTTTGTTGTCATAGTAGATCGGGTTTGCGTGAGCAGACCCGGTGGGTCTAGCCCCCGAGCCTTCGAGAGAATCGGTCGAAGGGTTGACTTGAAGTCGTTGTATTCTTCTGATCCTGAGTACGCGTTAAGCATACCCAATGACGATTCAGGTGAGGACTGATGGTGGCGGCCCAAGTGGTCATAGTCGACGATGTAGTCAGAGATGGCGTGATCAGCTTGAGGTAGCCTGACGATAGCGTGCCCAAGTGGTCAAAGTCAACGACGTGGTTGATGATAGAGTGACCGACACGAGGTAGCCTGACGATGGCGTGCTCGTGTGGTCAAAGTCAACGACATGGTCGATGACGGTGTGACCTGCTCAAATTGAGGCCGTCGAGGGCGTGCTCGAGTAGTGTAGTCGACGACATAGTCGAAAATGACGTGACCTACTCGAGGGACCCCGTCAATGAGTGCTCGAGTGGTCATTGCCGTTGACGAGTGCGGCGTGACCGGCTTGGGAGAACCCGGCTCGACTTGTCAATGTACATCATAAAACATGTGAACTATTATGTGTATTTTAAAGTCATTTTTCAATGTTTTTGCGAAATCATGATATCTTTTCAATTTTTTTTTATCTGAGGGAAATATTCTCAAAAGATTATGAAAAATATTTCTTTTTAATACTGCATCGCATGAAAAGTTTAAAATAAAAAATAAAATTAGGAATTCGAGAAAAGTTTCTAGAAAAAAGACCAGAAGTGGAAAAGAACTTTAAAAACATAGATTAGAAAGACTGTTATGCGGTGATTTTGACTGTTGGCAATTAGTGCTAAAATATCGAACGTGTCCCTCTGGAACGTGGGGCCCACGAGGCGTATCGATCAAGCACCGTCCACTCTCGCATCAAAGGCGAAGAAGGCCTTGCCTTCGCCTCCTTCGGCTCTGCGCCTTTGCGGATAACGGGGAGGAGGGCGAGCGACGGAGCGAGCGAGCGACGGGACGGCACCATGGCGATGCGAGCAGCTACGGCGGCGGCGACAGGCTTCTTCTCTCCGTCCTCCGTCTCTCCGAGGCGCTTCCCGTCCGCCACACCGCCGGCGTCACTCTCCCCCGGGCGCTGCATCCAGCGCCATCGTCTCCGCGCCTTCCCAAGTACAGTGCTGCTATCCCTCCGTTCCGTCCTTTTGGTGTTCCCATTTCCCATTCCTCTCGCTCCATTCCCAGGTTCGGAAATACCTCTGGAGGAACTCAACCCATCCATCGATCTACTCGTAGGCTCCATCCCTCTCCTCCCCCTTCTTTCTGTCATCTATTTATCCTGCTTATGGACGGACTTTGCATGGTTTTCTTGGTTGCAATCTAATGCAGAGGAAAACTGGGGACGCCGTCGGCGATTTCAGGAAAACGCCAATCTATATTGTTGGTATGCTTCTCAACTTCCTTTGGATTTTTTTTTTTTTTTAGGATTAAAAGGCCTCAACCAAACCAATTGTTAGCCACAACAATCAAATTTAGACACAGTTTAAATTTGGTAGCACAACAAACTAACAAACATTACACTTAGCATCCCAAAAGTGAGGAAACTGCTCGTAAAAAATTGGGCTTGTTCTCGATCCAACCGACATCTTTTAGCCCAGGTCTTGGTTATGAGTCTTTCGGGAATATATGCGATGTGATCTGCCTTGTCATTATAATTATTATAATGGACAGAGTATTTACAAGGTGCCTATATACAAATGTCAGGTCAGTATGCATCTAAACAGCACAAGAGAAAATAACTGTCATTGGTGTGAGGACATTGTTGAATTCAAATCTCAGCAGTTTCTTTGACTACCACAATTTACAGCAAATGAAGACAAGTTGCCAAACTTTTTCTAGTTGGTGTCCAATTCCTTTTGCTGTCATTGTGTTCCCACAATTACGGTTGATCACCACTAGAATAGGGGTTTGTTGTCATCTAGCTAAGTAATTGTAGTCCCACACCCTGCCTGCAATTTTCTGCCAAACTATTTGAGAGAAAAGGTATATTACTTTGAGGGGAAGGTCTGTTTCTTTCTGGTTCCTACAGAGCTTGCAAATTTGATCGACATTACAATCCTTGACAGTAGCTTGTCCATTGTGACCACTTTGTTCTGCATTAGGAGCCACAGTTGTTTTCAAACTTGCATTTGATTTCAACCTATGACATCCAAATCAGCATCCAATCTTTTTTTTGTTAACCAACCAAACATTTTTTCCTCATAAGCTGATTTCTGTGTAGTTTCCACGAGCAGATGAGCTCCAGGATGTCTTCTCTTCATGTGTTAAATCTGTGCCTTGAATAGGGGACCAAAGGTTAACAAAATGCTACAATTATTGAAGGGATGGCCCTTTTCATCCAGGTCCTGTTCTGAAGAGCTCTGCTGCAAGCCTGCAACCTTCCAAGTTTTCCTCTAGGCCAAGATGTACACTGCCTGTGCAATTTCTTTCAAAGTACCATGTCCAGCCTGCTGTTCTAAATCTGCTTCAATCTTCATGCTCATGCAAGAATTTAACCTGGCTGTCATTAGCTAGCATGACAGCAGTGGAATTCCTTGTCCGCCTCATCACGGAGTGTGTTCATTATGATCCATGTTATTTTTTCCCATCTTAATTTACTAGAACCATAACATCTCACTCTTGACATTGGGGTGGTGTGTGTGTGTGTGTGGGTGGGGGGGGGGGCGGCGCACAAATAGGGCTAATCCAGGCCAGTAAGATGCAGACACTTACTGGATTGTTCCTTCATGCATAGGTACGGATTGCACAGCCAAGCGCAACATCGCCAAGTTGCTCGCGAATTCCATAATATACCGCTACCTCTGCAGTGAGGAACTGCTTGAGGATGTTCTTGGTGGCAAGGACGCCCTCAGAGCCTTCAAAGAATCTGATGAGAACAGTTATCTTGAAGTCGAGGTGTTTTTCCTTCTTTCTCCCTCTATTTTTTACTAGTTTTCTTGCCCTAAATGTTACTGCCCCTACATTACCTAGCACCAATTTTTATTCTTCTGTCTCGCTGCTAGACCGAAGGGTTAAAGCAGCTCACGTCCATAGGTAGCCTTGTGCTGTGCTGTGGAGATGGCGCTGTTATGAATTCAACCAATCTGTATGTATGGATGTATCTCCATTGTCTATTACTTTTGTCACGCATGTTAAGTTATTAGTTAAGTCTACTGATGCTGGTGTTTATTATTTAATGAATCTCCAGAGGGCTGCTGAGGCATGGTGTCTCCATTTGGATTGATGTCCCTCTCGAAATGGCAGCAAATGACATGTTGAAGAGCACGGGAACACAAGCTACTACGGATCCAGACTCTTTTTCTCAGGTTACCCTATATTTCCGATAGCCAGTTGTTTGATGCTCTCTATGGATGTGACGACTGACTGAAATTCAAGTGTTATTTGTGAAACATGCTGCCACGTCCTCTGGATAGTTAGTTATTAGCATGTTTATCTTTTAGCCTGACCTTACTATCTATCTACATGTGTAGGCAATGAGCAAGCTCCAGCGATACGATGAACTGAAAGAGCGCTATGGAGTTTCTGATATTACTGTTTCAGTACAAAGTAAAGATAGATCCTCAAACCACCTTTCATTCGTTTTGAGTTACAACTAATAAATGGTAGTAAATATTTAGAATCGGGTGTAACTTTTTCTGAGATGCCTCAACACCTTTCAGGTGTGGCTTCTCAGCGGGGGTACAGCAGCGTTGACTCGGTCACGCTTGAGGACATGGTCCTTGAAGTAAGTCAGCGATATTTTATTTCCTTTCAGACCACACATGTCTTTATTTTGGACAATTAGGCACAGCGCACTTTGTAACATCTGAATACAACTGATTTTAACATTGGACACATTCTCACGTAAGTTTGATTTCTTTCCCAGATCGTGAGGCAAATCGAGAAGCTGATCCGAGCAAAGGAGATGATGGAAGCTGCAGGGAGGCCCTTCTAATCTAAACTAGATACACATACACAATATTTTTGCTCCGGCGTACGTATTTTCTCTCCAGTTGCCCGAGCTCCGATGCTTTGGATATTCAAGAAACTGATTGCAGTTGCCCACGAATCAAAGCACAAGCGCGTGAAATCTAAGGAGCTGAAGCTCGTTGTTCCACTCGAATATGCTTATATTGTATTGCAAGATCATTTGCCATTTGATAGTGTAAATGCATTACGTGTTCATCTGCCATGGTTGAATTTACTGTCTATTGGGAATGGCAGTTTTGCCTATACATGGCCCAGCGGCCGAACTTTGGAGAATTTTGTGAAAGGAGAAGGAAAAAATTGAGAACGCTTTTTACAATGAACATGTTGCAATGCTAAACGAAGGCTTTTGCAGGATCTCGAGAGATTTACTTGATCAATTTACAAGGGGAGAGAGATTTCATGTGATTCCGTCTTTTTATCAGAGATAACGAGGGACGAAAGAAGAAAAACTAAAAAAAAAGCAATTATCATGCTCGCGGCTCGCCGTTTGCTGGCTGCAACTGAAAGAAAGACAAGCCTCTTCACGCATTCGCACGCGCGCTGACGAGGCGTGGCGGCTGCGTGGTGGGCCCCACGTGCAGTCTCACGAGCCGCGTCACGCCCCCGGCGGCTATTTGCCAGACGACGAGGCGAGCGAGGGAGCGAGACGAGATCCATTCCCAACTGCGCAGCAGCTGCGCCTCGACTCGTACCGCGAACCCTAGCTCGCAAGCCGGAGGCGGAGAGAGCAGCCATGGCGCGGTGCCTCGCGCTCGTCGCCCTCCTCCTCCTCGGCCTCGTCGCCAACGCCTCCGCCGCCGCGGCCGACGCGCCCTTCGTCGTCGCGCACAAGAAGGTTTCGCTCTCCCGCCCCAAGCCGGGCGTCGAGCGCGTCGCCGTCTCCCTCGACCTCTATAACCAGGGATCCGCGTGAGTGCCGCCAGCCCAGCCCCTCCCCGCCCGCCGCCGCCCCCCCGGCGATCCGGTTTGTTGCTTGTAGTTGTTTCGCTTGCTCCGGGATCTGATCTGACTCGGCATGCCTTCCTTTCCTGGGAGATTTGAACGCGCCTCCACTTGCTTGGATCTGCATCATGCGGTGAGCGAGTGATGCGAGGTTTACTTCTTAAACCTTAGCCGGAGATTTAGTTGTCCAATTTTTTTTAATCGTAGGTCCGCTAAATCTGAATGATAGATTTGCTTAATTGTGTATAAGAGAAGCGAAGAAATGATAATTTTTAACCTTCGCCTGCTCTTCTGCTTTTTATAGATCCCCAATTCTCCCTATCCTTTGGTGGAAACGGGGGCAGGCCATTATCCCTGTGTGCTGCCCTCACTCTTAATTGACTGCGAGATCAAGAGTGCTGGCCTTGCTCTTAATTGACAGCTAGATCAAGAGTGTTGTCCTTGCTCTTAATTGACTGCTAGATCAAGAGTGCTGTCCTTGCTTTTAGATCAAGAATTTGTTGTCCTCAATTGCGAACTAATCAATGATTCTCGTGCATATTCGGCGCATGCTAATGGTTATCTAGCTAAACAACCAATAAGGCCAACGTTTCAATCACTCCATCCAAATCACTGGTGCTAACCTGCATGTACTAGTTGTGTCACAAAGAAAATGTTCATAGGGTCCATGTGGAACATTGCATCGTCTATTTTGTCTTCTACATCTTACTAGAACTTTTATGTTGTCATCATGCAGATGGTTAATGATATCTTTATTTGTAATGTGTTTTTGCATAAAAGAGAGCTTTGCAATTTATTTCATACAGAAATTGATGCATTGTCGGTTTCCCAAGGAGGTTACTCTTTGGTCCACACTTCCAAAAGGAAATGAACTTTCTATTTATTCACAGAACTGCATATCAAGTTTGCTTTGGGTTTAAGGCAATTGGTACCTTTGCAGCTGCATGCATTCTATTTTTACTAGTCATTTTGTATGGGACATCACAATTTGTGGCCCTTTGCTTACCTAAAGATATCTTGTTGTTCCAATATATCCTGTAGTGTCACATGCTTATAGTATATATCTGGCTAGATCTGGAAGCCAAACACATGACTTTTGGACTAGTTGGTTATATTAAACATTAAATCGCCTGATAAAGTGACCTAGAATTTTTACTATATGTATATGCGCAGCGGATTTACTCCCTTTCTCCTACAACAATTGTTGGTATCACTATGTGCTACTGATTTCTCTTGTATGGTTCCGGTAATACTTGATGTGCTCAAATTTCGTATTTTTCTTGATTTGGATTCATTGCATGATGTATATGTGTTCCTTTCTGTTTCATATGATGGCAAATCAATATCATATGTTCTCATACCATCGGCATGGACTTATTGTAATACCTATTGCAGGACTGCCTATGATGTGTCCATTAATGACGACTCTTGGCCAACAGAAGCGTTTGAGCTTGTCACTGGAGAGAAATCGAAGACATTGGAAAGGCTTGACCCGTGAGTACATTTTGTGATGCATATCTCTGCTTTATGTGTTCATGTACATCAGTACAGAAAATGATTTCATTACTTTGACTGTTTCAGTGGTGCCACTGCTTCACACACATACGTCCTGGAGACCAAAACACAGGGCAGGTTCCAGGGTTCACCAGCTATTATTACATACCGTGTTCCCACAAAGACAGCTCTTCAGGTTTTCCCCCCTTTTACCTCTATTGTACATAATTGAGTAGTGTTTCTTATGTTATGCTTATGCATCTTGTATTATCCTCTTATTTTCTACATCGCTATTGCTTGACCTGTGGTATTTAGTTAAATCAATGTTTTGTATATGTTGAAGGAGGCCTACTCAACTCCCATCTTCCCGCTGGATATTCTCGCTGAGAGACCTCCAGAGAAGAAGTTTGAATGGGTAAGTAATCACGCCATTGCATGCACATCCTAGTTCATGTTTCTTTCTGATACTGATGTTTGGATGCTGTTTCTGGTGCTACCTCCGCATGGAAATCTGAATATGCTCTCATACTATGTTCAGGCTAAGGTATTTCTTTCTTTCCTTCTGCTTTGGTCAATTTTCCTAGCTCATCTAAATAAGCTGCTCAGGTAGATTTTAGCATTCATTTGAGCTGGACACTAACCAAAAAAATTTGTTATCCACGTGCAGAGGCTAGTGTGGTAAATACTGGTCACTTGTGTCTGTTGTCTCGTTTGTTGGACTGTTTATCTACCTTGTTGCGACCCCATCAAAGAGCAGCTCAAAAGCAAGCAAGAAGAGACGCTGATCTAGTTATAGGCCGCAGTTGACGGTGTAGCTGGTGGTTTTGCCTGGAGGAACTCTTGGTAGTTTGAACTGAGCGAAAGCTTTTTCAAGTTTACATTTACTCACCGCACCATGAACTGCAGCGAAGTGAGCATCAGTTAGAAAAGTTGACCTGTAATTTTGGTTGGTTGTTACTTTCTGTTTCTGTCAGAGACTTAACTCGGAGGACCTGTAACTAGGAAAGTTACTTTTGCTTGAAAGAACATTTTGATATATGATTGTTATTTCTGTGCTAGCCTACCCTAACTTGCTTGTGACTGAAACGCTATGTTGATGTATTGTTGTTTCTGTGCTTCGTGCGTCGGTGTGTGAATTTGAGAGCAACAATTTGGTGGGACGCTTTCAGCTGGCAATGGTCATGACATAGCAACTGCTGGTGATCTGAACCTTGCATGTTGGAGATCACATTAAACTGCTTGTGTCTTTCGCTGCACTGCATACCATCGTCGGCTTCATGGTGTGGTGTAGGATGAGGTTCAGGCACTGGAGTTTCTAATGATAGTGGTCAAGTTCTTGTTATCTCATGGCTGTCATTTTGACATGAGAGAATTATCTATTTGACACCGAAGTAAATCGTGTGTAGCACCAACTTGAAAATTTCTACCTTAAATGACAGTGCCGTCCATTTCAGCCATCCCTCTTGATCATGTCAGTTTTTCTTTAGAAGTACGAAAATACCCCTGTTTTATTTGGTCGCACGCAGCTCTTCTGCTGGACACGGGCGGACGCATCTCCCGTTCTTCCCCGTCGTTCTCCTCTTCTGGCCTTCTCCCCCGTCGTTTTTCTTTGAATAAAAACCGAAACCCTAGATGGACGCCGGAGGAGATGAGGATGGGGCGGAGGAACCTTCGGCCGCCGGCGCCCAGGAAATCACGGCGCGGGTCCGTTAGCTCGAGGCGAGGGTCCGTCAACCGAGCTCGCCCCGTGGTGGCAGATCCAGGCGCGGGTCCGGCAGGGGATACGGCGGCGGGGCGGGCTCGCCAGCCGGCGCTAGCCCCATGTCGCGGCACGGTGGGTGTGGTGGGGCGGCCAACGCGGTGGGGCAGGCTCGCGCACTGGGGGGCTGTTTGGATGCCGCCCTCGCCTGGACGTGCCTGCCAGGCAACTGATCTCAGCCCCACGCGATCAAAATCGGACGCCTGGGAACACTGTCTGGCGCCGGAGCTGCCTGGGAGGCAGCATCCAAACAGCACCTGGCCGCGGGGCAGCGTCGCCTGGTGCCTCCCCAAACGGGCCCTACGGCTCCGCGCGCAGATGTCGTGCCCCGTGGGGTGGCCTCCCCCGACGGCGGTCCCAGTCGTGCAGTCTCCGGTCCAGTCCGCCGCCGGCAACTTAGCATGAACACAGCACAGGCGCGCGGCAGCCCTGCTGCGGCGAGATCAAGAATGGATATCGTTCGGCATTCCCATCAGATAAAAGCTTGAATATTTTGAATGTTTTTTCTCTTCTGCACCGACGGAGTCAGCATGTGGCTCTCTCATTTTCATTTGTTTTTTAATGATGATGAGAGGTTACACGCTGCCTTTTAGAGTTTTAGCTTTTGGAAGAAAATTAGTCTCGCCTTATCCGTAAAAAAATCGTGTGTGATTTATTTCGTAATGTGTACAGTCTCAAAAAAGGAAAAAAGAATGGGTTCCAATATAGTCTCAAAAAAAAAACATGCAAGACCTAGAGATCGAAAACAAAAAAATTTGTGCCTCCGTCTTCTTTGAGATTATAAACTTTTTTATTTATTCCACGAAGATAATTAATTTTCACCTCACCAAAAATATGTGCATGAAACTAACGTGTAACTGTTGTTACATTAGAATTTTAAATTTATTGATTATTGTCGGTGTTTCGAACTGTCGACTAATAAATTTGTGTTTGCGCGTCTAGCCCGGATGGTATGCTCGGAGGACACAAGGGCTTATACTGGTTCGGGTAGAATGTCCCTACATCCGGTTTGAGGCTACTCGTGTTACCGGCACTTCTTTGTAGTAGGGGTTACAAACGAGCAAGAGAGGGAGAAGGTCCCAACTCTCTGATGGAAGGATCGAATGGAGTTGAGTCTCGTTGAGCTCGTTCCGTCATGTCCTTCGTGGGGCGCCCTGCTTCCCTTTTTATAGATAAAGGGGAAGGCGTAGGTTACACAAGAGAAAGGGAGAGAGAAATGAGGAGGAAGAAGTCCTCCGGAGCCGCGTCGTCCTTCATCTCCTTTACGAGGGTCCCGTCGGTTCTGTAGATGATGACGGAGACGGCTCCACATCGGGACCTTGTTCGCCACTAGCGCTACACGTGGGCATCGTTAGCCGGTCGTGGCGCCCCATTCTGTCCCGGCGGACAGCATGGTCAACAGGTACCCCTGACGGAAGTCGTGCGGGGGTTAGGCAGCACACTGTCGCCTGTTGGCCTGCCCGACGCTGTCGGCGGCGTGAACTCCCAGGTATGGCCTGTCGTGGCCATGGGTCACGTCAAGACGTGCCCATTCCATTTTTGGTGTCAGAAGTTTAACCCGTAGTGGTTGGAGGCGGTACGGACCCCCGTCAGGCGAGGCGTAATCCCCCTTCGAGGGGTCTAGCGAGGTGAGGTCCGCGCCAGAGGGGTCGGGAGAGACGGAGCTCGCGCCCTCGGGGTCAGGTGTGACGGAGCCCGCGCCCTCAGGGTCGGGCGAGACGGAGCCCGCACCTTCAGGGTCAGACGTGACGGAGCCTGCGCCCTTGGGGTCGGTGACGCGGAGCCCGCACCCTTAGGGTAAGGCGAGCCGGAGCCCGTACCTTCGGGGTCGAGCGAGACCAAAATACGCTCTTGACCATCCGAGCGAGTTAGCTTTCACGGCCATCAGCTTTCTTCTTCCAGCTTTCCCTAATACTGATACCCAATAATTATTTATTTGCAATCTTCGATTACCAAAATCCCATGTTTTAGTGAACAAGTATGTTTGTGATATTTATGATTTTCTTATTTGACAACATGTCTATTTATCCTTTCTGTATTTGGCACCATAGACTTCTGCTACAAATAAGGGCATTCATGTCATTTCGCCAGCCACTTGACACCGTTACTAGCTCAAGTAGATGGTAGTGCCATTTATAGAAGAAAATTTCAGCTCGATACCAGATAAGAAAGTTCAAAATTTCTAGTGCTTTGTATGGAAGAGCGATTTGTTTCAGTGCCAAATAGATAATTCTCTCTTTCGGGATCACCAATTCAAAGCATCATTTCTAATCACCAATTCAAAGCATCATTTCTGTCGGATCAAGATTTCGTAAGAAGATTAGAATCTTGATAAATTTCATTCCTTGAGAAGATTAATCAATTCAAGAGAAAAACAAGTTCGTTTTAAACTTTTATCATTGACACTTTGACAAATTTTGTTTAAATATTTAGTTATTGAGTAAATAAAGTGAGAAATGCATAGTTGGATTCATGATTATCAAAATTACTTTAAATGTGTCACTTATTGTTGGCTATTTGTACAAACATTCACATAAAAGAGTGGTCAAACATTAGACACTGATGTCAAAATTGCCATGAAAAGGAGGTTGGTAGTTGAGAGTACAAAGCTTAGAAAACAATAATTAAAATGCTTGGATGAGTAATACATAGAAAACCTAGCCCACCGTTTGCACAAAAAACTTTAGGAATGCTCGTCCAGATGTTTGTTGACTCCACTAATCAACGAACATTCGTCAGGAATAAAACCGACAAATGATGAGACATCCTCCATGACTTTCCTTTTTTTAGGAAACTTTGTTTCAGTAACTTCTCTACTTTTTTTGAAAAGCATATATATAACTTTTGTATAAGACTTTTGTGCATGACGTTTGTGGCACAAGCTTATGATTATATTTATCATGATGGCTTCCCGAGCATAAGATATTATGTTATGCACATAGATTTATGCATAATAAGATTTGTGGACAAAACAATGATTACATACATTTTAGCATGCAATGTAACATCCTTAAACAAATTTATGCACGCAATATTTGTGAAATAAACACATAATATTTGTGGATAAAATTCGGCACAGATGGTGAAACAAACACAAGATTTATGAACAAAATTATGTTATGCACAAGACGTGTGAAACAAAATTGTGCACACAAGATTTGTGATTAAAAATTACACATACAAAGACTTGTGGAAAAAATATATGCACATGAGATTTTTTTTAACATAAGATTCAATTCAACTAGATCAGAAGAACATATAAACCTTTAAAAAACAAAAAAAGTAGGGAAAAAGAAGAAGAAAAAAAGCAAGCACGGCAGCGTACTACGCCCTGCAGAGCTAGCTAGTACAGGAATGTAAAAGGCGAACCGGATGTCAGCTACTCAGCCCGTCAGCCGTACTGAGACGAGCGTTCGGTCGGGGGTGGGGGGCAAATGGTCGCCGAACCGAATTTGGGCTGTTTTGCTCACTCCCAGAGCCCAATTTCACATAGATGGCCCATCAGAACCAGCCCACTCCTCCTCCCGCAGGCCGCAGCCTCTCTGAGTCTCTCGCTCGTTCCAATCACACTGACACGACGGTCCCACCACTCATCGGACGGATCAAACCAGCCGTGAACCCCATCTCCACCGTCCGCCCTAGGGTAACCCTCCCCAAACCCCGACCTCGCACTATATAAAACTCTCTCCTCCCTCGTCCAACCCAAGCCGCACCACGCTCATTTCCGCATCCCCCTTCCCGCCGCCGCCGCCGGAGAAGATGGGTCGCGTGATCCGCGCGCAGCGTAAGGGTGCGGGGTCCGTGTTCAAGTCCCACACCCACCACCGCAAGGGCCCCGCCCGGTTCCGCTCCCTCGACTTCGGCGAGCGGAACGGGTACCTCAAGGGCGTCGTCACCGACGTCATCCACGACCCCGGCCGCGGCGCGCCGCTCGCCAAGGTCACCTTCCGCCACCCCTTCAGGTACAAGCACCAGAAGGAGCTCTTCGTCGCCGCCGAGGGCATGTACACGGGCCAGTTCGTGTACTGCGGCCGCCGCGCCACGCTCTCCATCGGCAACGTCCTGCCGCTCCGCGGGATCCCCGAGGGTGCCGTCGTCTGCAACGTCGAGCACCACGTCGGTGACCGTGGTGTCTTCGCCAGGGCGTCTGGGGACTACGCCATCGTTATCAGTCACAACCCCGACAACGGCACCTCGAGGTTTCAACACGATCACCATCCCTCCTATCTCTATTTCATCCATTCGTATGATGAGATCTGATGAAATCGTGGAGTAATTATATCACTGAATCAGATATGGTTGGGATCCATGGTAGCATTCTTCAAAAATGATTTAGCTCTGTTCTTAAGGCTTGTACTTATGCGCGCTGGATTTAGTTTTTTTACAATAATGCAAAATGGTTCGATTTGTGCAGAAGTATGGTAGATATCATTTGCCTCATAGTTTTTTGTTATACGTGAATCGGATTTGCATTGATAGAAAAGTAGAGTTGACTTATGGTCTTCCATTGAGATAAAATTTAGTTTTTATGTAGGCATTTGTAGCTGATTGGTTGCAATGTGTTGTGATCATTATTGTGCTACATTGAGGTATAATCAAATAAACACCTTAGGATACATTGTATATGTTGTGATTATTATTGTGCTACTTCACATCTCCATTATATATCCTGATGACAATGTAAGCTGTTTCTCATCTTTTGATGTCAGCCTTAATCATTTTACAGCACAATATAATTTCAGTTGCAGTGTTTTTCTAATTGAATACCTTGTAGATATCCAAATCTGGCTGCCTACCCTTGATGTCTTGTTGATGTCCTAATGTAGTTGCCTACTTGAATGTCTTTCTCTTGTCAGTGTGTTCAAGTGACCTTTTGTTATTTGTTTGCATACTTAAATCCCCAATAAAAGAGCCTAATTCTGCTTTGTTCTTACAGGATTAAGCTACCCTCTGGCGCCAAGAAGATTGTCCCCAGCAGCTGCCGTGCCATGATTGGGCAGGTCGCTGGTGGAGGCAGGACTGAGAAGCCAATGCTGAAGGCTGGTAACGCCTACCACAAGTACCGCGTGAAGAGGAACTGCTGGCCCAAGGTGCGTGGTGTGGCCATGAACCCCGTGGAGCATCCCCACGGAGGAGGTAACCACCAGCACATTGGTCACGCCTCCACCGTCCGCCGTGACGCTCCCCCTGGCCAGAAGGTCGGTCTAATTGCCGCTAGGAGGACCGGAAGGCTCAGGGGCCAGGCTGCCACCGCCGCCTCCAAGTCTGACAAGGCCACCTAGAGTTATTATCGTCGTTCTTGTTTATCTATCTCTCTGCCACAATTTAGATGGTTAAAGGACATGAGTTTCAGTATGGATGTGTTGTTGCCTGGTGCTATGGTGAAACATTGTGTCAGTTTTTGTGGTCGCTGTCTGGATTTTGCATTATGCCTAAAGAAGTTTACTTGGATGTTTTGGTGCTAAATGTTATTGGCAGGCTAGGCCCTGGTGCTATAATTAGTTTACATGCCTCTTTGCTTTGTTTTAATTATTGTAGAATTGCTGAACGGATGTGTCTCAGATCGTGATTTCTTTGTTGCTGGAACGTTGATAAGACATGGTTTTTGTCGAATAAATGTAACTCGGTTGGCTTTATTAGTGCTGAGGGGGCACCAAACAGTGATGATGTTTACAAGAGAAATTAGCTCTGACCAAAGAGCATCATTCTTTGCTTGCACGGCTAGAGAACGAGCAGTCTGCATTTCAGGTTGTCAATCTTGTGCCCAACTCGGTGCTGAGGTGATGCAACATGTTATCTTTGTGACTTCGAGCTTGAGAAATTTCACCAGCCGCAAGACCTGATAGGTTAACCTTGAGTTGAAGGACTTCCCCCTCTCAAATTGAAACCCCTAGAATCACATTTCGTTAACTATTTTTTACACCCACGCAAGATGATATTTGAAATCATTTTGCTTCGTAGCATATCAGTGTGTATTGGTGATCTGGTTAAAACACTAAATTGCTATTGTATACATGTATATCTGCAATGCTTTTGGCTGTGTGATGCTGATGCCTCACCCTTTTATAAATGGGGTCAGCTTATAACCAACCGCAAAATTGTCTTCGTGATGTTTTGGATTGAACAGTTTTCAAGTCTACCAACTCGTGATGTTGGAGCTGCTCAAAAAGGGGGTGATATGGAGAGTGGGATCAGGTGATACAATCAGAATTTGGGATGACCCATGGCTGCCGAGGGGATTGACTCGGAGACCCATCACTCCAAGGGGACAAAACCTGCTCACCTATGTCAATGATCTGATCAACCCAATTACAGAGCAATGGGATAAGGAGTTGGTGATCCAGACTTTCTGGGAGGAGGACGCAGAGGCCATTTTGTCTATCCCGGTGCATGTAGGCATGGACGATGTCCTAGCATGTCACTGTGATGGAAAGGGCATTTTCTCTGTCAAATCATCATATAAGTTGTTCTGCGATGACATTCAAAGGCAGAGTCCAAGAGGAAGAAGTCCGTCCACAATTGATCAAGAGGGGAGTTGTGAGGAAAAAATTGGAAGCTGAAATGTCCGAATATAATAAAACATTTTTTTTGGCGAATGGCTACAAATTCCTTGGCCACGTGCACAAATCTGAAAAGAAGGGGCATGGATGTGGAAACAGATTGCTTGGTCTGCCATCGGATGGATGAGGATGGTGGACACCTGGTTTTCAAATGTAAATATGTAAAACAGATATGGCGCCAAATGGGGCCTGACAATATGAGAGAAGCTGAAGGATCAGAGGTCTGTTATGAATGTAGTTGAGCAAATACTGAAGCTGGATCGGCCAATACAATTAAAAGTTTTGTTCCTTATGTCGAACTGGTGGAATGAAAGAAACCGAATCAGGGAAGGAGAAAAGAGAGGAGATGCTTCTGAACTAGCTGCATTATCTAGCAGGCAAGCCGAGGAAGTTAGAGTGCTGCACGAAAAGCCTAGTATCCCTGAGCTGGCTTCTGTTTTTAGAAGATGGAAAAGACCCACATTAGGATTTCTCAAAGTTCATGTTGATGGAAGCTTTGATGCAACGACAAAGAACGGAAGCTGGGGATATGTGATCCGTGATGAGAATGGAGAAGTTATCCGAGCTGCCGCTGGACGATCTGAGTATGTTTATAATGCAATGCATTCAGAACTTTTTAGCTTGCTTTCAGGGCGTTAAAGCTGCACATGATGAACAGATTAAGGGATACAAAAAAATTGATCTTGAGACCGATGCCCTACAGGTGAAGCTAGCATTACTGTCAGCAGATCACCGATTGGCAGTCCTAGGTGGCCTAGTACATGAACTGAAAGAAATGCTACTGGAAGATTTGACCACATCAAGAGTAGAACATGTTCCTAGAGAATGTACTCAAGTAGCTCGTGAGCTTGCCAAGCTAGGGGCTTCCTATCAGCTAGGACATGATTATGTAGCATATGATGTACCTGGTTGTATTATGGGTTTGGTGGCCAGCGATTTAGCTGGATCACTGGTTTAATGGAATAAAAAAGGATAGATCCAGGGCCGGAGGCTCCCACATGAGTAGGGTCTAGAGAAGGAAAAAACCGAGACAAGCCTTCCCCCGCAAATCTATGGAGAGGCTGCTTCGAACCCACGACCTGGTGACTCAGTGAGACAACTCTCACCACTGCACCAGGCCTGCCCTTCTAACTGGTTTAATGGAATCTCACAAAAAAAAACTTCTCAGAAGCAGCAATGAACCAGTTCAGTGGCGCCAAACACAGCAAATGGATGATACAATTTCTCAGGATCTTCAACGATTTAGAGCAGAAACATAGTGGGTTGCACCTAATATTAATAAGTTCATAACAATTTTTCCAAATAAGTTCATAACAGCATCAACCATTGCAACACTTAAGCAGCAGGTCGAGGTTCTACTTCTACCTGTCATCAAGACGACAGTTGCCTGTTTAACAGACCAGGCCATACACTTGAACGACAGCGGGTTAGCGGCTAGCTTCCTTGTGCCTACCTGAAACACTTGTCAGACCAAAATTTCCCCTTACCCCCGCACCTACAGACTAATTCAAAAGTAAAGGGGAGGCAAACTCAGGAATGCAAAGCCGCCTATGGAGAACTAAGTGGCTAACTAACTAATAGATTACTTTCCCTGGGAAAAGTCCACAATCCCGAGGGGACAGGACTTCCCAAACTAGCACTAGTCACTAGTCACTAGTCACTTGACAGACATGGCGACCACTACGCCGAAGAGCAGGACAACTACATTAGCCACGAAGAACCACTTCACAATAGCTTTTGCCAAACGCGCGATCGAATCAGTCTTCGCAACCTTCTGAACCTTGTCCCCAGCACCAAACTTGCCCTTGAAATCTTGAATGTCTGTCTTCAGCTCGGCGATGGCCAACTTCTGCGCCACCATCTCATGCTTCAGATCCTCCATAGCAGCGACCATCTCTGGGTTGCCCACTGGCTCTGGTATGAGGTAGCCCGTCCCCTGGCCCTGCTCTGGAGTGGCTGCAGGGCCAAGCAAGCCTCTATCCCTTAGGATCGCTTCGTATTCCTCCTTGGTTTTGAAGAAGGAGCAGCCGCCACGCACCTGAAACAAATGGCAACATATCATCAGCCATAGTTTTTAGGAGTTTTTTTTTTCTGAGCAAGTTGACTGCCCAACTCCCATGTTCCACTCCACTCTGCACAAGCTGGGGATAAAATCCCCCTTGATCCCCAATCGGAGGGTATTGAGAGGGATTTTGACTTGTCGGGGATAAAATTCACCTCAATCCCCTCCAATCCCTTTGGATTGGGGTTCAATCGAACAAGCCCTCAGTCCCCTTGGATTGAGGATTAACCGAACAAACCCTAGTGGTACTAAAATATTCACAAACCAGATATATTCACCTCTTTGTGTAGTGTGAGAGACAGCAACCAACGAACCCTACATGCTTTTTCACATGCACCCACCGATTTAACTGAAGCTATAGCCCTTGATGGCAGTGGCACCTAACAAGCTTACACACCAAAACTGAACTACAAGATCTTAACATATTTTTTTTCAACAGTCGGGGGCAGTTTAATCCGCAAGCCATTATTTACTTCTCTGGTAAACAGATAAAAATACAAATCTCAGCCACTCTTCAAGGTGACACTGTACCAAGAATCGAAAACCTAAAATGGCAGATCGGATCCGCACGTACAGTACCGTCGCCCCCATAGCCATAGAGGTAGAGGGCACAACCAAGATGCAGACACAAAAACGAGCGAGCAAGATTTCCTTACCCCGGTCTCGTTCCGGCGGCAGCTGGAAGGATTTGTTATAGTTCCTCCGAGACCCGGAATGTACTCCTCCACAGCATCGCCGCACTCAGGGCAGGGGATCAGAGGCAATCCCGACCAAATGCCCAGCGGCGGCAGATCTGGTGTCGGCGTCCCGCCCGGCGTCGCCATCCCGCCGCGGTGGCTGCCCGCGAAGGAATCGCCGGGGGTGGGGGAGCGACTAGCTGGAGACCAAGCAGTGGGGGGAGACCAGTGAGCCATTGGCGTGCCGGGCACGAGTGGGTGCGGAGCCGTTGAATCATATAAGGGTTAATCGCATGTGTGCCATTATAATTCCGCTGTTTTTCAAACACATCATTACTATTTGTAAAACTATGTCAGTGCCATTATAAATCTTGCGAAAGCTGAAACATGCCATTATATATGTATGCCGCGTCTTTGGGCCCATGTGTAGGTGTATGGACAGTTTTGTATTTTCGTATAAACCAAAATACCTCTTCCTCTTCCTCCCTCTCTCTCTTCTGCCTCCCGATCTGGTGGCGCAGCGGCCGGGTCCCCGCGACCGCCGCCCTCCGGCGCGGCTGGGCCCTCGCCGGTGCTGGCAACCGCGGGCCCTCGGCCGCTATCCCGCCTCCCCTCCCCCCGCCATGCGCGCATCTCTCTCTCCTCCCTCCCGACGTGGCCACCCACGCGGGAGGCGCACCGGCGCAGGCACGGCCCCGCTCGGGTGGCGCACCGACACGGCAAGGGAAGCCCTCAATGCGGCCGGCCCTCGGAGCGGCAACCCTAGCACGGGCGGCCTGGGCGCGTCGGTCCCCTGCGCATGCGGCACACCACCGTGGGCGCCCCCCGGAGCAGCAGCCCCCAACACGGTCACCTATGCCGCCGCAGGTATGGTCACCGGGAGGAGCCGGGTACCCGGCTCGCTACGCCTCCGCTGCTGGGCCCCTACTCCTCTCTCACTGCGCTATGTGCGCTGCTCGCCGCCGTAGCCCCTTTGCCATGTGTGGTCGCCTCTTCCTCTTCCCCGCCTGCGGCTCCGCTCCGTGGCTTGGCCCTGTTGACGGTGCGTCGCCTCTTCTTCTCCGTCGGCGGTGGCGGCGGCGCACCTTGGTGATCGGATCTACCGGCAACTCACCCACTTCTCCTCCCCTTGAGGAGGGTGGCGCGGCTCGTCGGAGGAGGGAGGGGGCTCCGGCCGTAGCGGTGGGACGGCCGGCGAGGGCCGCGACACGCCTGCCTTCTCCACCGCCGGCGTGCTGCTTATACGGGCGCGGACAAGAGGGAGAAGGGGAGGAGAGGAGGGAGAAGGGTGGAGCTGCTGGTGGTCACCAGGAGATGCCGTGCCCCTGTCGCGCCACCGGGCGAGTAGGCGACCGGCTTTGCCGCGCCACCGCCGAGCGAGCGCGCGGGCGGGCTGCCGCATCGGTCCAACCGAGCCGCCGCCAGCCGAGGAGGCAGCCGTGCAATTGCCAACGAGTGCACGCGCGGGTGAGCTGTTGCGCCGTCGCCGGGCTTGCGCGCGGGTGGGTCACCGCGGGCGAGGGCGCAGGTGGGCCACCACGCCGCTGCTGCACTGCAGCCAGGCGAGCGTGTGGGCGGCGGAGTCGCGCCCCCGCTGCCAGCAGGTGACCGGAGATGAAGAAGACAACACAGAGAGAAGGCGTGCAAGGCTGACGAGTGGGCCCCATGTGTCAGTGATTGTGAGAGAGAAAAGGAAGGGGACATTCTTGTCCATACGGATATGTAGTGCCCTTTCATACGTCTGTCAGTGGGCCCAAGTCGTCTTCAAACGTACATAATGGCATATGTCAAACATCTGTAAAGTTATAATAGCACTGGCATAGTTTCGCGAATAGTAATGGTGTGTTTCAAAAACGGCAGAATTATAATGGCACAGATCCAATTAACCCATTATAAAATGACTTGAGGCCCCTTTTCGTAATTCACCACACGCACATGTAGCGGCTGTTAGTTGGAAAGTACAGTCCGATATTAATGCCAGCAGTACATCGATGCAACAGCGGCCTGTCAGCCTGTTCACTTGCTCGTATATAATCGTAGATTATAAGTTGGAATAGTATTTTTCTCTCACACCAAACCCGCCAACAGTAAATAATCCACGATCATTTTCAAATACCATTTCGGCCAGCAGTTTGCTCTAAGTTCAAATATTATGCAACAAAGCCGTTAATATGAAAATTGTTATATCTTAGGGCTTAAACACAGGATCACTAGTTTATCTTAATTAGCACACGCAATCCTAGCGAGGGAGTACCTAATTGAATCATATTTTTCAAATATTCATTGGAGGATGAGAGACTAGAATCGACCCAATAAAAATTATGCGTGATGTTTCGTCTGATATCAAATAAAAAAAAACCTTAGATATTGATGATATATGCTTTGCTTTCTTTCTTTCCAAAACTTGCTTAAGGCGTCCAATAGTTCCCAAATAACTAGTCTAGGAAGAACTATATTGGCTATCAAGGAGAGAGATCAAATAGTTAGCGACTCCCAAATAAACAGTCTAGCACAATCTCCCACAAATAACTCTCTCACGAATTTCATAAACCTTCACTACAATGTTCTTTTTTTCATTTCTAAAGCTCATCTAACTAGCTATTTGTAAGTTGCCATTGAGGACGCCCTTAAGACTTTCTCCAATCCACAAGAGAAAAGTATGAGAGGGGGATTAGTCCAGTGTTTCAAGGGAAATCGTGCGTGCTCCAAAAACGAGAAACAACCCGTTTGGCTGCTGGGTTTTTCAGCCGGCTGGGCTGATGCTCCTGGATGATCACCTCACCCGTTAGGCAGCCCACCTCCAGCCGTTCAGCTAAGGTATACAGCAGTAGTCGCCCACCCTCTTTTCTCTCCATCTCGCATACACTCACCCCTCCTAGGGTTTCTCGTCGCCATCCGTCGTGCGCCCCTCGCGGCGTGACCCAGCTGCTGTCCACCCCCACCCCTGCCCCTCCCAGTCGTCACGGTCCGACCCTCGCACGTCACCACCCTACGCCGTCCGCCCGCTCAACCCTTGCCCCTCGCTGACGTCGCTCCCTCACGACTGTACATGCGCCGCCATTCGCTTGTCCTCCCTCGACGCCGTCCATACCTCTCCCAGCACTCCCCCTACATATCCGGCCGTCCTCGACCTCGTACACACTGCGGCAGCTCGGCTGCCCCGCGAGCCCCGGCTCCGACCATCTCGTCATCCTCAGCGGGTTCTTCACCGTCATCACCACCGGATCCGACCCGTTCGTCGTCCTCCTTGTCTGCTCCAACGCCGGATCCGATCGTTCAAGGTTCGTTGCCTCCCTTTTTCCAGATATAGTGATCCTTTTTCACAACCTACATTAGATTTGTACTCAAACAATGGTTCTCTGTTCCTATGCTTCACTGATTCACACCTCCAGCTACCTGCGTCGTTGTCTGCATAATTTTGCACTAGAGTACAATGAAGTCAGGTCTTGAGTGAACACCATGTCTGAACCTGTAGTCGACCAGGGCCTTGTTTAGATTGCCTCAAAATTCCAAGTTTTTTCACTCTCTCTCCATCACATCAATTTTTGGACGTATGCATGGAGTATTAAATGTAGGTAAAAAAAGTAATTAATTGCACAGTTTGGTTGTAAATCACGAGACGAATCTTTTAAGCATAGTTAGTCCATGATCGGACAAAGTTTGTCAAATACAAACGAAACGTGCTACAGTGTCCAGATTGCAAAAATTTGCAATCTAAACAAGGCCCAGTTGTCTCAGGGGCAGGCCCAGACCTAGGGCCAGTAGGGCCATCGCCCAAGTTTTCTAGGAATAGGTTTTCAATTTTTGGCCCAACAGCGAACATCCCAATAAGGAGAGTTTTGGAAGGCTTCGCTGTCTCGGTGTGTCACTCGAGCCCAAGTGCCCAACGCCTCCTCTTCCCCGTTCTCGCCCAGGCGCGGCGCCTTCTCTTCCTCTTCCCCATTCTCGCTCGCAGCTGCGTTGCCGGCACCGGTGCCCATCGGCCGCATGCCCACTCGGCCCTACGCCCCCCGCCGGCCGCCGCCGCCCTCGCGGCCTCACCCCCTGGCTGTGCACTTGCGCACTGCGCCGTGGGCTGTCGAGCGCCTGGTGCCGCTGCGCGCTGCCCTTGGATTCGCTTGCCCCGTTGCCGCCGGCCGCCACCTCAAGCGCTGGAGCCCCGCGTGGCCAAGCGCCCGAGATGGCCGAGCAGGAACTCTGGAACAGGAAGAGTGAAGTGATTTCTTCTCTTTATTTCTATTCTTTGCTCATTTTGATTCTAACTTCTAGGTTTACAATTTCAATTTTTATCATTTCTACGTAGAGTTTTGAACTTTTGATTCCAATTAGAATATAATTTTATAGATTTATTAATTGGTCTATAAGATGAAGAGCACTAGGACTTTCCCATCATGTTTCTCTTGACCGGGAATAGCTATTTTTTTGACACACATATATGTAATCATATAGACTATGGTGTAGCGATCGGTATTTCACCTTTGAAATTTGGCCCCAGTCTTTGCTGAATCGTGGGTCCGCCACTGAGTTATCTAAATAGGTGACAGCAAATTCGAGTCCAGATATGTCAAATGTTCATGAATGGATCCCGGCTGGACTTGGACTATTGTAAGGGAAATTGTACGTGAATTTATGATGTTTGAGTTGTTGATGTTGTGAATAGTTATCAATTCCGTTCGGGTACATGTCATTTCGGCCGGTATAACTCGTACCGCCACCCAAACCGGAACAAACGAAGCTGCATCCCGTACCTGCCAAAATTCCGGACGATACCGGCTGTCTCGGGCGATTCCGGTCATTCCGGGCGGGATCGGGAGTCTCGGTCATGCCGGTACCGTTGCGGAGAACCGAGGAAGACGCTCTGCTTCTTTGCTGTGCTGCGTGCCTGCGTCGATGCGCGGAGGAGGAAGACGCTGCCTGCTTCTTGGCTCTGCTGCATGTGCCGAGTCGCTGATGATGGTCTGCTGGTTATTCTCTTCCCTCTTGTCTCTTCCCGTCGTCTGCCTCTCCTGGAGCTTTCACGTGGTGGTTTGCTGGCTGGAGTATGAGGTAGGAGGCGGCGGTGCATGCTCTAAGGGCCTCTTTGGCATGGTTTACGTCGAAATCGGCTTCATCTATTTTGCGTAAATCGATGTACTGTAGCGTGAAGC